CATAATCCTTTATTGTTATACAAATTAAACGTAGAGTAAGATGTTTTTTGTTCATGGCATTACAAGGTTATTCACAAAAATTTAAAATGCTTGAAAAGCTGATGAAAATAATAATGACGAATTCACTTTCAAATCGAAGAAGATCGTAAAACAAATAAGATAATGAACGTAAAATTGAGACGGCTCAGCTCAGCCACTAAAATGGAGGGCGAAAAATTCCCTAGTTTGAGTTATAATAATAAAAAATAAAATTTTATTGAGAAAAAAATTGTATTAGCTTTGCTAGCTTAAGACGATAAAGTTTTACTCCTGGTTTGTAGGTGAAATTAGTTAAAATAGCATCTATGAATAAAAATTATCGAGAGTTCTCATATTATCGAGATTTAAAACTTTTCAGATTTATTTGCAGTACATACTACTAGACAAAAACATGTTAATTTATTCTAAATTGCAAATAATTTATATTTAAGTAAATTTATTCAAAATTATGAACACAGAGTTCCTTGAAGGCTCATTGACACAGAAAGTTGACATTCATTTCGATCTGCAATGACGAAAATTCGCCGCGATCGTCCTTCACTTGCATGATTTGAGCATTCCTACTTCTCGCATCATGACCTTCTTTCTCATCATGTAACATATATGATGAGCTTTTTCACCGTGTCTGTTAATGTGGCAGGAATCCTTGCGAGTTACATTCAATAAAAAAGTTCAAGTCGCATATGTACCACATACAGAGAGGCAATAGTTGTAATGACAATTGTGATAAAAACCTTCTCATGCACCTAACGCACCCTTCTGGTGTCTTTGTTATTGCTTACACTGTAATGATTTGATAATTCATCAACTCAAGTTTATAGTTCACAGTTTCAAATGACACAAAATAAAAAATTGTTCCAACTTAAATAACTGCACTGATGCATCTCTCATTGCATATGCACTCTAGGAGAAGCGCACATTAGGATCAAATCATGATCGCATTTCTTGACGAATTTGACTTTTATTCGCGATTATTTATATTCAGACTTTTACTTACATCTTACACAAAGTATGAACGTTACTGCGATTTAAAAAATACAATCACCACTGCAAAATAATTAGCCTATTCGAAGAATCTGAAAGGCCAATACATGTTGCAAATTTCCGAAATTTACCGGGAAATTTTCAGTGTTAGCTCACATGCACCAGCTGCTCCTCCTCCCGTGGCCAGTCAATGGAAGCGCCGTGTTATTTTCGGTTTACTGATCTTCATTTCTGAAATTAAAATAGATGACTGTTCCTATGAATGAACTTTACAATAAGTTTTTTGTTTTGCTGCCAACAATTTCATAATGTAGCATAGAATTGCCTTAAACTCGTAAACCCAAGTTCTCGCACCCTCCGTCCCACCCCCCTGCACTCCCAGCAGAGATATGTTTTCGTTAGGAGCCGAAGAGGAAATCTTGGAGTACAAACTACTCCATCAATCCTTCATATTCAAAATTAATCAACAATATCAACTAATTTTGTTAATAGTAGTGTATTAACTTAAATTAGGCAAAATACTATTTGTAGCCGATAATATTGTTATTATTATATTTTATCATAATATTATTACATACATGTTTAATTACATAAAACAATAGAAAATAACATTCATTTTTAGCACAATTTATAAAAATATACATGAAAATCTTGTCAGCATGTCAATTAAAAGTTGTGTGTTATTTCATGTAACCCACAGCTTATCGCACACAGTATCTGGGTCGTTCGCTCACAACATGTGAATCATTTCACTACAGGTTCCGATAAAGTTTTGGCTACACAAGATGTACCACACACATTCACACAATACATAAATGTTGTACAGCACCCCTGCTTATTTCAGTGCTTCCAACCTGCAATTGCCACCGTTGAAATAGGGCAACCAGCACACGAACATAATCAATAAGAAGTTACCCAGAAATAACTGCATTGCCCAGTACAGCGCAGGTCGGTAACCTAAATTTACGGAGCTGAATCCCAAGAAAAACTTTTATCAGTAACGAAAAGCTAGGATCTTATTTACTCAAAATGCCTGCTGTTTTATCAGTTCGCAAGAAAAACGATACGACTGAGAGATAGCGCCTCAATCGCTCAAAATTGTGAATATATATTAAGTAGTACATAGGAGCCACGTTATTAGGTGCTTAAAAATATAAATAAATGAAAAAATGTATAAGCATTTTATTTGAAAATATTTAGTGTTTCGCGTCACTTTTCTATCAATCTCTCCTCAAATTTTCAATATGTAAGACAAATATTGATAAAATGGTTCCACGATCAAGTGACAGTTGGGAAGGTAAAACATGACATTCGTACTAACGTGATTCCCCTACTTTGATTGACCAGTCCTAAGAAAAATGCGTCAATAACAATCTGTTTTATTCGAACTCACAATATTATTGCCACATAATAGAACTTCCTGTGATAAAGTTAAGCATTCAAAATCCTTGTATGGTTGTTAACCCTTCATTTGCGCTCTCGCATCAAACAGCGAAAAGTTTCGAATCTTTTGCCTTATTCCGAGAGAAAGGCATGCCCCAGCAGGTATTCGGTGGTTGAATCGACATTGAATCAACTACCTATTACGACATTGAGATCGGGGGAAAAAGCTAGGAGGTTTGGAATGAAAATTGAAGAAACATCTTTCATGGAACGTCGTACTGACGTTACAATGCAACGTTGAATCAATGTTGCTACTGCGACGTTGCTGCAACGTTGAGTTCTCTGGTTAAATCGACGTTGAAACAACTACCTATTACGACGTTGAGATCGCGGTGAAAAAAGGTTTAGAATGAAAATTGAAGCAACGTCTCTCATGAAACGTCGTACTGACGTTACAATGCAACGTTGAATCAATGTTGCTACTACGACCTTGCTGCAACGTCAAATTCTCTGGTTGAATCAACGTTGAAGAACCAACCCGTTTTTCGTTCGTAGCAGGATGCGAACCCGGGATCGCTGGAGACCGCGCGACGCCTTAGCAACCTTGACCACGGCAGCTCGCGTGCATGAGCAATAGAAATAAGTTAAAGAATTGTTCGACGCCTTGAAAATTGAAATGCATTCTCTGGTCTTTAATTGTACCCTAATATATATGTATTTCTATAAGTTCCATGCTGTAAATAGCTGAACATTCAACGACGTACCGATATCGACCATTTATCAACGTTAACATAAGTTGTTCTGCGTCTGTACTAATTTTGATTGCCTTTCAACGTTGATCGGACGTTTAATTTTGGTTGTTCGGCATTTCAACCTGAAATCAACATTTCAAAAATAAATAAACATTCAACGTTCCAATATCGACGTTGTTTCAACGTTGAAATAAGGTTGTTCTGCGTCAATTCTAGTGTTGGTCAGATTTTGACGTCGATAGGACGTTTAATTTTGGTTGTTCAGCTTTTCAACCTGAAATCAACATCGATTCAACGTTTAAAAATTAGTAAAAATTCAACGTACCAATATCGCCGTTATTTCAACGTTGAAATAAGGTTGTTTTACGTCCCTTCTAGTGTTGGTCAGATTTAGACGTTGATATGACGTTTAATTTTGGTTGTTCAACATTTCAACCGGAAATCAACCAATAATCAACGTTGTTTCAACTTCAGATGCCTGCTGGGACGTTTTTCTCTGCCCCCTCTTTACTACAATACATTATAAATTTTATATCTTTATTTTCTTTACCCTTCCCATTGCAGTCCTTAAATTCAAACAAACGGGCTGCGAAAAAAAAAGGTATGCAATCTACTGAAATGCAATCTCGTCGTGCTTACATAGAAGAGTTACACATACACTCACATACATTGGTGAAAATAATTTTCAAACGAGCAAAAATGTGATATAACCACGAGAAAGTCAGAATCGCGTCGATAGAAACATTTAAACTGACTGTATGACATGCAAAAAGGCGCTGTCGCTGATCAAGAAAAAGCGTCCGGCGTAATCATGCAAGATTCAATACGGCGTACATATGAGAATGTACTCGGTCGTTTTTTTCCGATATTTATAGGAAATCAGTTGCGCATTTCGAAGTATGTTATTAATTGAAAACAATTTCCACAGTTTGGAAGAGTATAGTATTGATTTTTTATCAATCACCTGAAGATAAATTCGTTGCTCGTGGCATGAAAAGTTTAAAAATAATGATGTGATTTCTCGCAATAATTTGTGTGAGCCATGCAGCCCTTCCAGCTGATGATGCTTTTCGCTTAGTTTCGGCGTCAATCTAGGCTTTGCCTCTGCTTACTCAATATCGCTGTGTTAAATCAACCCTCGGCAGCGATATTATCGGATATTATTACAACCAATGAGGGATTTTAGCAACAAACTTGCAGCAGCCAAAGCTACTCGTGCAGAAACTAAGGCTTGCAGGTGGAAACTTAATTAATAATCAAATTCATTATGTATATTCGAACACCACATAATTATAGCAGATTTTATTGCATTTTTATCAAGGTATGTCATATGGCGGCAGTCCGTTCCTTGCCTATATAAGGCACGGCTGCCGTGACCCGAGCACAGCTCATCCAGGCCCCGGGCGAGTAGCACAGAGCACCTCCTAGCTGAGGATCAAGGACCTGCACACACGACGGCTAAAAGTTTTTTTTTCGGCTAAAAAGTAGAGTAAGTAGATTGCTGGATGTACCTGTATGAGCATTTATTTTATTTATTCAGTATTTTTAGGAAAGAAACAATCCAATAGTGTTATCATGCATTCTAAAACGTGAATTTCATACCTAAACAAAATGTTGCCTGCTTTCCTTGGTCCTTGATTGCTAAATTTAAGATGCATTTACAATATCAAGATCTATTTTCCATCTATTATAATCACTAAATTAAGTAACTATACCAATGTATTGTTCGGTAATATGGTCACCAATATTTCAATTCCGTCTGCTGCAGGGACAATACGGAATTGACAATACGGAAGTGTTTTCCTACATATATTATTCACGTCAATAATTGTGCAGGAACCCAACAGATTTTGAGGGCGACAGCTGCTTCAGGATGCAACTGGACATAATAATGGTAAGAATTGTGTTAATTTAGTAATTTAAACCGTAAGTTTTAATCGTGATGGTTCATTGCATCTCATAACCTAAAATAACTCCATAGAGCTTGAAAGCTAAGAGAACGCAAAACAAACTCCCCAAATCTCCACTGAGAACATTACGGAGGCCGGCTTCAACATCGTTAAAATAAATTATATGAAATACAAATAAAATGAGTATTAGGTATATCAAGGATATATAATCGCTGCTATTTATCGATTACATTAAATCAACCGAGTCGACGGCGCTTATCAATCTTACATTATATGACACGGTTCGATGACACTGTTCGTAGCTTCTATCAGAATAGCTTTTTCGGGTGTAAAATGCATTGGAGTCTCAAATGTAGTAAACCAACGTATGTATATCGCTATATAACTTTCCGGAATTTTGATTACTTGAGATGATTTCGACTTCATCGACTTCTTAAGTAATTGAAAACACACGGGATTTATGTTGGCGATATATGTACAAACTTTACCTCATCTTCATTCTAATCTCATTACAGTCATGCCAGGACCGCTGTATAATCTCATTACAGTCATGCCAGGACCGCTGTATAATCTCATTACAGTCATGCCAGGACCGCTACACGACAATCGTCTGCAACACACGACAATCGTCTGCAACACACGACGTCTGTAACAGCTTCTGTGTTTCAGGTGCTGCTCCTGGTCGCGGGGTTGGCCAGGTGAGGATCAAATTAAAACTTTTCTCAATTTACACTCAGTATTTCACTCAACATACCTGAATTATTACATAATTTGAACAATTTAAAAGCCTGCTATATTTATAGATCGATTTTACTGAATACCAATACCAATTAAGTACCTATTATGTATTCCTTTCTGCCAATATTCTGGAATAATTCCTGCATATTATTTGGCTGGAACATGTTTCTATGATACGTGGAGGTCTTTATAAGTATTGAACAGAAAAAATCAGGCAAACCTTTATTTGTAGAATTGTTCATTTACTTTGCAGTGGCCTTCCCCCTATTGGTAATGCAACCCTGTGCCTCAATGTCGGTAATGGAGAACAACGTTGTGGTAGTTGTTTACAGCCTGTTGAGTGCCAGGGCCAAGCACCAAACGATATTCTAAATCATTGCTACCCAGGCACAGTAAGTACAAGGAATGCATTGAATTCCTTAATATTGTGTACATTTAAGTAACCTCATAGATGGTAACAGCAAACAAGATGCTGTAGTCGATCTTTCAGATACATAGCGCTCGAAAGTTTTTTTCATTTAAGGTGAATCCGATGTCAGTACGAAATTATTTCCTGGCAACGTATTTCACGTACATTAACGCAGGACACTTCATTATTTATCAAAAGAGGTTTCATATCCGTACAAATGTACAGATAAAAATAACCTACCCAAAAAAGATATAAATACTGATATACATATAATTTTTTGTCAGGTGTGTGAGCAGATCAAACCGAACCAAGTATCATGCGTTCCGATTGCATCGGCCACGGCATGCCAGTGCACCAGCGACAAGTGCGACGATTACGATGCACAGTTCACAGTCACATGTGACGCCAGCGTCATTACGGATGTAGTTGACTGCACGGCAGGTGAACAGTGTGTTGAGAACGGAATTTGTAGTGCTTGTGCAGGAACCACCGGCACTGTAGATTTCTTCGTTGACCAGCAATGCAGATCCAGGTACAGATGTAATGGCGGAGTTTTCTATGACGCCGTAAACTGTGCCGAGGGCGAGTACGTGTCAAAAGATGGCACCTGTTCCCAAGCGCCGCCCACACCTTGTGCAGAAGCTGATAAATGCACAGTTGGATTCTGTCCTGACTTGACTAACTGCACACGGTACTACATCTGTGATCCAAATCAAGAGCCTTCGGCAACCGGACCTTTTTCGTGCCCATCAAATCAGTGCTTCGACTATAATACAAATACATGTGGGCCCGGATGTAATTGTGATCCATGGACTGATTGTGATTTCACATCAGCAGTTGTGACAACAAGTACGAGTACAACAAGTGCGAGTACAACAATCGCGAGTACAACAACAGTCTCGCTTTATACACCACCACCAAATTGCGACGCAAGCAGCGTTGGAAACTTTCCCTATGGACCGTGTGATCCACAGTAAGTTCTTAAAGTTTGTTTACAAATATTCATTTGTTAATTTGAACACGATGAATAAGTGGATTATCTTCATGATTGGATGTTTTGCAATGCAAGTTTAGCTACAAAAATGCAAATTTTCTGAGGCCATGCAGAATTTAATTCAAATCACCGAAGGAAAAATTCTAGCTTGCACCGTAATACCGTAGTCGAAACGTCAATTCAAGCGTCAAAGTATTAATTACAATAATAACGTCAATTAATTTTTTTACCTTTCTATTAAGGACCTCGATAAACTCATGTACACACTCAAAAATTCATGCAAAAAAAATTTGCGATGTTCTAGTGAAGGGCTTTCAACCCGGTAGACATCATTTTCATATTATTGTATCAAAATCACCGGTGGCAGCTAAAGTCCAAAAACTGACGATATAATGAGAAAACTTCAGTTCACCAATTAAATCCGAAGGTACTTCAAGGTACTTCCTAAGCTCACAGCTAAAACAAATTCTGTTACTACGCCGTATTAAAACTTAGTTAAATGTTTACTAACTAAATTGTCATAAACCTTTAATTATTATTTTGTTCAACAACAGTTACTGGGCGTGTCGCCAGGGTAGCGGCACCAGCTACGTGGTGGTGGAGATGCAGTGCCCCAACGGTCTGGTGTTCAGCACCAACCTCGACTACCCCTACTGCGTCGACCCCAGCGAAGAGCCCACCTGTCTTGCTTACGCTGCTGAACACTGAACACTACAACTCAACGGCCCGGCGTTATGCACTGACCCCAGCTACCTTATATTTCGACGACCTCAGCACTATCTCCACTTGATAGTTCCCCAAGAAGGTTAACTAGTGTGCTTCGAAACCTTCTTAGAGGACCGAATAAACAAAGATTATAAATGATATCTATTTTTCTGTACCTGCATTTTCACTAAATTTTTGTTGTACTGTCGCTCCCTTACCTGACTTTGAATTGAATGATGATAGAATGAGGCGGTGTAATTTGAAGAGAATCTGGCAGCTTAGTTTAAAAACTTTAACAGTTGGAGGGAAACTTCAACTCGTTGGAAAAATTACCTGTGTTCAAACTGCGAACGATGGTTCGGCAGCTTCAAAATTCAGAAAAAATAGGTTAATTTAAATAAAAAACATTGCCCATACACAATCAAACACTAAACTGAAACTTGAATTTAGACTAGTACCAGTTTTTTACTGCTTCCGAAGATATAATATTTCCATGGTCTTAAAAATGAAATCGTCTGAAATATCTCACGGAAATCCTTTATTGTAGGATTTCAGGTTTTACTTTTTACGAACAAATCCCTACTCTCATCGTTAGCTAATCCACGCTATTCATCATTGAATAAACGTAATGATTTCTCGTAATATGCATACGATAAAGTGATTTTTGCTTTAATTCACTTCAAGTTCTATTAGAACGTTCAACCGTTCCGTTTCTAATAGTCTTACATGACGATGAACATACCACAGACGTTACACAGCAACCTTTAGTTCTGTTAGAAGCATAGTCATTTCAGAACAATGATCTATACACTTTTTAAATCACTCAATCACAAAAATTGTAATGGTTTTGTCACTGTGTTGTCAGTCTTGGGTAATAATGAAGTTCAGAAACACCTTGTGTTTTCGAATAAAGAAAAAATAAATTTTAATTAGTTAAACACACCAGAGGCACAGAAATATAAATTTGTATCTAGTACGAATACATCGAATTGATCATCCGGTTCTACCAATAGCTTGAAACTTATTTTTCTTTAATTCCTGAATAGGAAACAGCAAATTTTTCTTCGACAATACAGGGTTATTCTAAATGATGAACCGAATTTAATAACTTCGTAATTATTTAGGTATATATTCGACATGAATAATTTATTCACAAATAGAACGAGACAGGTTCAAGTTTTCCTTACATATTTAAAAATGTTCAATATGTCCTCCTAGCGCTGCACAGCAAATATCTAAACGGTAGTCAAACTCGTCCCACAAACGAGAACTAGTCTTTTCCCGAGCGTTGGGCAAGTCGCATAGGAAATGAAGATCTGGCTCTACACTTCTGGCCACCGAGATCACCTGATCTCATCCTATATGTGACTATTTCTTATGGAGTTCTGTCAAGGAAGCTGTTTACGTCCCGCCTCTACCAGCAATGTTGCAGACGATTGTCGTGTATTGCAGACGATTGTCTTGTGTTGCAGACGATTGTCGTGTATTGCAGACGATTGTCGTGTATTTTCTGTTTTCAAATACCTAGGAAGTATTCAAAACATTTTACACCCGATGAAATGATTCTGTTAGAAGCTACGAACAGTGTCATCGAACAGTGTTATACAATGTAAGATTTATTAGCGCCATCGACTCGGATGATTGTTTTCTATTTGCTTTCAAGCTCAGGGGAGTTAATTTAGGTTATATTATAGGCTATGAACCATCACGATTAAAACTTCCGGTTTATATCAAAATAAATTAACTGAGTTCTTACCATTGTTATTTCCAGTTGCATCCTGAAGCTGCTGTCGCCCTCAAAATCTGTTGGGTTCCTGCACAATTATTGACGTGAATAATATATGCAGGAAAACACTTTCAATTCCGTGTTGTCAATGCAGCAGACGGAATTAAAATATTTTTGAGCATTTTATCGAACAATACATCAGTATATTTGCTAAATTTAATTGAAAGAGATTGAAAATAGATCTTGATGTTAAAAATGTATCTTAAATTAAGCAATCAAGAACCAAGGAAAGCGGGCAGCATTTTTTTAATATGAAATACACGTTCTAGAAATGCATGATGGCACTATTGGATTCCTTCTTTTATAAAAAATACTGAATAAATAAATGCTCATACAAGTAGATCCAGCCCTCTACTTACTCCACCTTTTTAGCCGAAAAAGTGTCAACTTTTAGCCGTCGTGTGTGCAGTTCCTTGATCCTCAGGGAGGGGCTCTGTGCTTCTCGCCCGGGGCCTGGATGAGCTGTGCTCGGGTCACGGCAGCCGTGCCTTATATAGCCGGGGAACGGACTGCTCGAGCTGGTATTTTTTGGTTCAATTGCTTTCGTTTCTTCTATAATTGTGTGGCGGTTTGCTATTCTTTGCGGCGTTTGATTGGTGGTTAGGCTTCGTTCTGGGATTCTTATGTTTTCGTTAGCTTGCCTTTATTTGCTTCATGTTTGTTCGTCCACTTGGTTGTTTTTTTTTTTAATCGCGTATCATTTGGTTGTGGAGGTTTGTTTTTGCACTTCGTTGTTGGTTGTGCTGATGTCTTGTCTTGTTTGTGCTGGGGGTTGATTTGGCACGGCTGCTCAGCTGTATTGGTTGGTCCATGCAAATTCTTGCTTGACGTCGCATCGTTATTTTTATGCTTTTTATTTCTCGGAATTTATCTTCGGGTAATTGATAAAAAATCAACTCTATACTCTTCCAAAATTGTGGAAATTGTATTCAATTAACTACATACTTCGAACCTTGGAACTGATTTCCTTTAAATATCGGAAAAAACAGCCGAGTACATTCTCAAATGTTCGCCTTATTGAATCTTGCATGATTACTCCTGACGCTTTTCCTTGATCAGCGACAGCGCCTTCTTGCATGTCAGACAGCCAGTTTAATGGTTTCTATAGATGTGAGTCTGTCTTTCTCGTGTTAATTTCGTATTTTTGCTCCTTTAAAAAAAATTTTTCACCAATGTGTGCATGTATAACTCTACAGTATGTATATGCACGACGAGACTGCATTTCAGTAGATTGCATACCTTTTTTTTGGCAGCCCGTTTGTGTGGATTTGAGGACTGCAATGCAAAGGGTAAAGAAAACGGAATTACAGATATAAAATTCAGAATGTATTGTAGTAAAGAGGAGGCAGAGAAAAACGCATGCCTTTTTTTCAGAATAAGGCAAAAGATTAGAAACTTGGCAGGTTTGATGTGAGAGTGTAAATAAAGGGTTAGCAACAATACAAGGATTTTGTATGAATAAATTTATCACAGGAAGTTCTTTTATGTAGCAATTGTAAGCTCAAATAAAACAGATTATTATTGACGCATTATTCTTAGGGCTGGTCAATCAAAGAAGGGGAATTACGTTAGTACGAATGTCATGTTTTTCATTCCCAACTGTCGCTGGATAGTGCAACCAATTTATCAATATTTGTCTCAAGCATTGAAAGTTTGAGGATAGAATGATAGAAAAGTGAAGCGAAACATTAAAGATTTTCAAATAAATTGCTTTCCCATTTCTTCATTTAATAATAATATTTTTAAGCACCTAATAACGTCGCTCTTAGGTGCTACATAATACATATTCGAAATTTAGAGCGATTGAGACACTATCTCTCAGTCGTATCGTTTTTCTTGCGAACTGATAGAACAGCAGGCATTTTCAGTAAATAAGGTCCTAGCTTTGCGTTACTGATAAACTGTTTCTTGGGATTCAGTTCCATAAATTTAGGTTACCAACCTGCGTAACACTGGGCAATGCAGTTATTTTGGGTAACTTATTATGTGATTATGTTCGTGTATGGTTGCCCTGTTTCAACGGTAGCAATTGCAGGTTGGAAGCACTGAAATAAGCAGGGGTGCTCTATAATATGTATTGTGTAAATGTGTGTGGTACATCTTGTGTAGCCAAAACTTTATCGGAACCTGAAGTGAAATGATGCACATGTTGTGAGCGAACGACCCAGATACTGCGTGCGATAAGCTGTGGGTTACATGAGATAACCCACAATTAAGACTTTTAATTGACATGCTGACGGGATTTTCATGTATATTTTTATAATTTGTGCTAAAAATGAATGTTAATTTATATAGTTTAATGTAATTAAGCATGTATGTAATAATATTATGATAAAATATAATAATAAAAATATTATCAGCTGCAAATAGTATTTTGGCTTTATTTAACTCAATGCACTGCTATTAGCGAGAATAGTTGATATTGTTGATTGATTTTGGATATGAAGGATTGATGGAGTAGTTTACGCTCCTAGATTTCCTCTTCGGCTCGCAACGAAAATATATCTCTGCAGGGAGGGCGGGGGGGTGGGACGGAGGGTGTGAGTACTTGGGTTTACGAGTTTAAGGCAATTCTATGCTACATTATGAAATTATTGGCAGCAAAATAAAAAAGTTCATGTAAAGCTCATTCATAGGAACAGTCGTCTATTTTAATTCCAGAAATAAATAACAGTTAACCGAAAATAATACGGCGCTCCCAATTGGCCTGCCACGGGAGGAGGAGCAGCTGGTGCTTGTGCCCGAACACTGAAAATTTCGTTGTAAATTTCGGAAATTTGCAACGTGTGTTGGCATTTCAGATTTTTCGAATAGGCTAATTATGGTGCAGTGGTGATTATATTTTTTAGTCTCATTAGCGTTCATACATCGTGTAAGATGCACGTAGGAGTCAGAAAAATGAATAATTGTGAATACATGTCAAATTCGGCAGAAAATTTGATCACGACATGATCCTATACTGCGTTTCTCCTAGAGTGCAAATGCGATGAAAGATTCATCAGTGCAATAATCTTTGATGTTGTTTCTTATTTGTAATTGTAAACTATTAACTTGAGTTAGTGAATTATCAAATAATTTTAATTTTATCAATAACAAGAAAGACCATAGAAGTATGGGTGAGCGGCATGCGAATTTTTTGTATCACAACAGCCGATAAAATCATTGCACCACTGAATGTGGTACAAATGCGGCTTGAAATTTTGTATTGAATGTAACTCTCAAGAATTTCTTCCTCAATTTCAACCTCGGTGAAAAAGCTCGTCATATATGTTACGTGAAGAGGAAGAACGCCGTGATGTAAGGTGGGATGCTCAAATCATGCAAGTGAAGGACGAACGCGGCGAATTTCCAATA